CCACGACAAACATTTGAATGAAAATATTCGTCGTGCCATTCGTGTTTGTTTTTTTTTTTTTATAACTAATATCGGAACATCCGGTTATTTATTTTCGACTATTTCCGGTTGACATTTTCCGTTTTCTTGTCGTCTGTTTGGTACAAGTTTTAAAATTACTTTTTCGTTATGGTATTAAAATTCCGACTTTAAATTTTTTCTAAACTTTTCTTATTCGCTTCAGAATCGTTTTTTTTTTTTTTTTTACAATTTTTCTGCTGCCACTTGGCTTGGGATTTGATGTTGGTTTCTTGCTTATTATTATTATTATTATTATTACTTTGACTTTCATTCAATTTACGAAAAAGTATGAAGAAATCGATCGTTTTTTTCCTAATTGCTTTTTCCGTTACGGTTCGTTAATGCCACGACGACGTTTTAAAAATGATTTTTTCTTCTTGTGATTGATGTCAGACAAAAAAAAAAATGGCTCTTCATTATTACAAACTCCTATTATTAATATTATTATTATTTTTTAGTTTTTCTTGCATCTGACATCCGGTTCTTGTCCTTTTTTTCCTCCTCTTCCTCCCCCTTCTCTTTCTCCTCAGGTTTCACATTAATTTCTTTTGCTTTAGGTTTTTTTTTTGTATTGGTGAAATTTTACCGCTGAATAATTTTTTTTCTTTTGACACGCGGTTGAATTTTATCGCGAGAAATTTTGTTAACCTCGTTAATAATAAGTGAGGGACCATCATTCGGATCCAATTCGGAAAATATAATTTTCCCATCGATTTTCTTTTTTTTTATTAACCCGCATGTAAAATTCGTAAAAAAAAAAAAAAAAGTTTTTTTGTTTTTCGGTGAGTGATCTTAAAAATGTTTTAAATTGTTTTGACTGATGAAGAAAAACAAAAAAATTTTTTTTTTTTTTGGGGGGGGGGCAAACAAAAAAAAAACTTTTTTCATTGAATTTTTTTTTTTTTAATAAGAAAACTTTCCAGTGGAATGCATTACTTTTTTTTTTTTATATACAGATTGATTTTAGAAAATTTTTACTCTCTCTCTCTCTCTTTCTCTTTCAATTACTCCCGTTTTCTTTTATTCAGTTTTTCTCACGTTTCATTTTCTATCTCTGCCTCTCTCTGTTTATTACTCTCTCTTTCTCTTTTTCCCTGTATTCCTCTCTTTATTTCTTTTTATTTTTCTCTTTTTCATTCTTTCTTTCTTTTTATTCTCTCCAATCCTCTCTCTTTTTCTTTCTGCGTTCTTCTCTCCATTTTTTTTGAAATTTTTCTCTCTTCTCTTTTTTATTCTTTCTTTCTTTCTTTCAATTTTCTTCTATTTCCTTTTTCTCTCTTCTTTTTTCTTAATTTCTTTTAGTTTCTTTTTCTGTCTCCCCCCCGTTTTTATTCTTCTCTATTTCTCTTTCTCTTTTTCATTTTTTCCTTCTCTCTCAATTTCTTTCTTTTTTCTTTTTTTTACCCTAAATTTTCCTCTTTTTTATTATTTTCTTTTTCCAATTTCTCTCTTTCTTTTTTCTCTTTATCTCTCTTTATTTTCTTTTCTCTCTTTGGCTCCTCTTTTCGTAAAAATAAAAAAAAAATACATTAAATAAACGACGAGACCAAAAATAAACAACGACGAACGATTCTTTTACTTTATTCCATTAAAAATAATTCCCACGAACGATTTATCTTGTGACACGATATTATTTTTCCAATTCAACCGATCAAAAAAAATTCAAACGTACTTAATAACGGAATTTATTTATCAAAAAAAAAACTTAATTATTATTTTTCGACAAAGTTTAATAAGAAATCGAAACACGTACGAAAAAAGAAATAATAATAATAATAATAATAATAATAAGAAAATGGTTAAACTTTTTTTTCCAATTTTAAATTTTCAACCGCCATTTTTTTTTTTTTTTTTTTTTATTTACAATTTTACGTTTAGCTTATGAGTTTAAATAAACTGCATTTTTTTCGTGTAAAATTTTTTATGCACTTTTTTTTAACTTTTTTATTTCGTATTCGTTTCCGGAAAATTTTCTTACTATTTTTATTTTTCCGTTAGATATCTTATCACGAATTTTATTTTCTTACGTCATCGATATCGTAAAAAAAAATAAAAAAATAAATTTCATACAAATTTAAACCTTTTTAAAATTGAGAAAAAAAAAAAAGGAAAAAATTTTTTCGATTTTCTTTTTTTTTTCATTCTACTTTCCACAGACTGATAATAATGATAATAATATTGTTGTTATCAACGTTAAAATGTTTCTTTCTTTTTCTTTTTGTTGTTGTCGTCGATAAAAATAAATACGTAAATTTTATTAATAAAATACGTCATTTAAATAAATTATTATTCACGGTATTAAATAACTTCTTATTTCTTTTTTTTTTTTTTGAATGAATGAATGAATGAATGAATAAATAAATAAATAAATAATTTTATTTTATTTTCATCGAAAATTAAAATCGATAAAGAGAAGAAATGGAAGAAAAAAATACAATTTTTTTTTTTTTTAATTCACGTGGAATTTTTTTTTTATACAAAAAAAAAAAAACAGAAACATTTCCATTCGTTTTGATTAATCCGTTTAATTTATTTTTTTTTTCCGGTCGGGTTCATTTCTTTTTTAATTTATTTGATTAAGTTTATTTTTATTTTCACACGCATCCATTTAATACTTTTTTTTTTTTTAAATAAAATAAATTCCCTCCCCCCCAGCTAATTATACTAACATAAACACAAATAATAATAAGAGAAAACATACGCGTGGTTGAAAATAAATTTCGTACGCGTTCGGTAATCATCGTTTTATTTCGTTACGCCATTATTTTTATTTTAGACCAATCAAAATCCTAAAATTTCTCGTTCGGGTATTTAAATTCAAAATGGCGTCTGTTTGTTTACATTTATTTTCCGTTACGATTTTTTTGTTGATTTTCATGAGAAAAAAAATTTTTTTTTTGTGGGGAGAAAGGGGGGAGAAGGAGGAAGCGGAGGGCGGGAATTAAAAGGAGTAAAATATTAGAAATTAGATAAAAGAAAATTTAAAAAGAAAAGATAGATAGATAGATTAATTAAATAAAAAAAAAAAAAAAGTTTCTTTCGTCTGTACGAAATTATTGGAGATATGGGGGGAAAAAAAATGGCCGACATCAAATCGTTTAAGAAAAATTTAACGAAGTTGTTTACGTTTGGGAAAAAAAAAACAATTTAAAAATTGGCGGGAAAATTTTAATTTTTTTTTTCCTATATTTTTCTCGATAATAAAATCGAATTTAATACATCCAATTAAAAAAAAAAAACAGAAATTTATTTTTTCCCTTCCCTCACCCTCCATTTGTGAAAACTACTAATCCTATCAACAATATTTTCACTCGAATAAATTTAATTGAAAAACAAATTAAACGTAACGTTTTACTCACGAATTTCACATTCACGCACAATTTCGCACGCATTTTTTCGTACAAATTCAACGCAGGCCTCCGATACAAACTTTTTTTTATAATCAAAACGTCTAAAATAATTATTATATAGCAAATAATCAATCACTATAAAATCGATACCGAAAAAAGAAAATATTATTATTATTATTATTAAATTAACGAAGATGAACAAAAAAAAAAAAAAAAAAAAAAAGAAAAAAAAAAGAAAAATTAAAATGACGGCGAAGGTTCGAATAAAATTTAATTAAAAAAAAAAAAAAAAGAAAAAATTGCTTTTAAAAAAATTAATTTTTTTAAAAACTTTTTCCGGTAAAAACCGGACCGGAAGTCAGTTGAAATCAATCATTCCCTCACGCATCTTACAAAAAAAAAAGAAAAGAAAAAATGATTTAAAATCTAATAGGGGCGTATTAAGAAATTAAATATGAAAAGTTCTTATTAATACATAGAAAAAAAAAAAAAAAATTCCGCATTTTTTTTAAACGCTCTCATCATCATTATTATCATAAACCGGAAGTTAATTTGTTATTAATTTAAAGAACAAAAAAAAAAAGATAAAATTTTGATTAACGTTTAAGTTACGTCATTATAAAGAAAAAAAAAAAAAACTTTTCCTTTTAAATTATTAACCGAACGTTTTTGGTTGTTGTCGTACTTCCGTTTCGGAAGTTGGAAAATTTTTTTTTTTTTCTCTCGAGAGTTTTCACGATCGATGACTCTTAACCGATTTTCTGAACGATTATATTTGTTTTTAATATTGAAAACATCAAAATGTTCTTTTTTTTTTTCTCTCTAAGGGATCGATTCGGTAGGAAAATTTTCTTTTCCTTTTCACATCATTAATCGTTTAGGAAAAAAAAAAAAAAGCACAATCAAAAAGTCATTTTTTATAAAAACTATCATCATCTATCCTACCTCCTATCAACCTGCCTACTCTTTCCTCCCCCCAAACAACTCCCCAACTTATATTAAATTGATGGGTGTTTTTTTACAAAAAGAAAAATGCGTCGCTACGTATCAATCATTTCCTTTTTTTTTGTCGAACGATTAAAAATCACCGCAAAAATTTTTGCAAATTGTCACGAGATTTTATAAACTTTCAAATAATAACGGTTGGGAATTCATTGATTGTTTATCGATTTCCCCCTCCCCTCCCTTTTTTTATTTAAAACCTTCGAGACTCGATCGTTACAACCGCACCGCATTCAATTAAAAAAAAAAAAAATTTTCCATAAAGTTTTTCCCTTTTTTTTTTTTTTTGTAACCGTTGTCGTCGTCGTCGTCGTTTTACTTACCTTTTTATAGTTTTTTTTTCCTTTCTTACTTAACGAGAAAATAAAATCGTTTCCGTTTTTTTATAAAAGGGGAGAAGGTGGGGGAAAGAAAAGAAAAGAAAGAAAAGAAAAGAAAAAAAAGAAAAAATCGTGTTAAAGGGCGTAAACAATTTAAATAAAATCTTTTGTTACGCAAATATCCCTCTCTCTCTTTCTTTCTCTCTTTCTCTCTTTCTCTCTCTTTCATCATTAATTAAAGAATGAATGATTTAAATATTTAACTCACGTGACGAATCGTATTTGATTCCATTAAATTCTTCAAAACATGGAAGATAAGCTGTGGTTCCACCGAGTGTTTTAGGCCAACATAAAACCGTATCGTTATGCCAACTGCAATGTATTCCATCGTATAAAACATCATCATCACCACCACCACCGTTTCCATCGCAAACGTCATTTCCGGTTTTTATAACATCACTATTATCAATGTAATTTTGATAATATTCCGTTTTGTATTTGTTGTTGTTGTTATCATCACCATCGTTTAATTCGGTTTCTATAACGTATTTATTCGAATCAAATTCGAATAATTTTTTATTATCCATTTGAAGTTTTGAATTTATGTGACGAATTGATTTTTTCATTTTTTTTCCCCCCCTATTTGATAAAATAAATTTTCACCTGAAAAGAAAAAAAAACAGTAATAAATGTATTACGCACGTTTATTATTATTTTGATTAAGGCAAAAAGTGCGTAAACGCACGCGTTTTCCACGACCCTATTTGTTAAAGGTAAACATTTTGAGAAACATAATTAAGTTTTCAAAATAAAATATTTACAATTGTTTGTCGTGAATTTAGAATGAAGGGCGTGAGCAAATAATGCCACGACCACACCCAAACCCACACACACACACACACTTACGAATTCGTCATGATGATGATAATAATAATAATAACGGAAAAACTTCGATTTTAACTGGTGTAATTAGAGTAAAAAACAAAAACAAGAAAAACGTAGATGAAAAGTGATTTCCTTTTCCCTTTAT